GCTCTGAAATGGTCTTGTCAGACCGAAAGGGCATAACCCAACAAAACAAACTACACTCGCTATCCGGCTGCTTGGTGTAGTGGTTAGCGCACTAACCTCGCGTTCAAATGACACGGGGTTCGAATCCCATCGCCGGGTGATCCTTCTGGCGTGTTGTCCAAGTAAACATGCCGACGTCGGGGACTGGGGGGCTCGAATCCTGCCGCCGGTTGATATTTTTGGCGCGTTGTCCCAATAAACATGCCGACGTCGGCCCCGTCGGTCCAACGACAAACGATCTCGTCAACCTCGGCAAACGACCTCGGCCCGACGTTGGTCGACGTCGGCTGGACTTCGGCTGGACGTCGGAACATGCGGGCATATCCGACGTCCAGCCGATGTCGGGCCGAGGTTGAACCGACGTTGGGCCGACGTCGGCATGTTTACTGGGTGGCCCCGCTTGGTCAGGCCAGGTCACCTCCGGTCAAACGTTCACGCTACGGTCACGGGTTATTGGTTACGCCAGTTCACAGGGGTCCTCTTCGATCACGCTGGGTCAGGCCAGGCTAGGGGTTACATTGGGTTATTTCAGGTCACATAAGTCACGCTGGGTCAGGCCAAGTCACAGTCAGGTCGCGTGACGCGTATGGTCAGTGGTCACATGGGTCAGGTTAGGTCAAAGCGGCCACGTCTGGTGTTGAGTCAGGCCAGGTCAAAGGGGTCACCTCTGGTGTTAGGTCATTCCGGGTAAAACTGGGTCTGAGGCCTCTTGCACCAAAATCCTCTTGCACCAATGCTTGGATTATTTTGCATCGTATACCCAGTCCAAGTCTCAAATGTAACAATTTGCATGCAAAATTTTGCAAGCACATGTAGGATTATGTATTGGGCTATTGCAAACAAATTTACCACCGTTAGATTAGCTTATTCTGAAACCGGTTTTTCGATTTTACCTAGCTAGGTAGTTTGGTGCAAGAGGCCTCAGGTCAGCTGTTACAAGGTCACCTCGGGTCATCAAGGTGAACCAACGCTGAGTTGTGCGGTGTGCGTGTAAGGCTCGCTATTATTATTTGCTCGTTCTTCAAAGATGAGGCGATCTGCTGGTAGTTATATGCTCCATAAATTTTCATTATCTTGTCGGTAAAGTCTAGGTTTGATCTTACCCAAGATTACTTGACTAATAGGTAAACTTACCCCCATCTTGTTATTGTTTTAGACAGTATTGTGTGGTATCATTATGATAGCAGTACTTTAAGGGACTTTAAGGACTTGTTTTCAAGGTCAAGCAGCGATCTGTCGTTGGCTCGCCATTTATGGCGAAGAGTAAACTTCAGTGTGAAGATCACAGGGGAGCAATGCCGCTTCAATCCTATTGGCCGTGGTGTCTAACGGTGGCGGCCATATTGCGCAGACCAAGAACCGGCCGCCGCCTGTGTTGAGGAATAGGGAATTCGGGACCTCGATTTACGTTTGCGGCCGCCGCAGCCGTTACGCTCAAGTTACGTAGATACGGAACCCGGCATCTTACGCAGAATTGAATGGGGAACACGATCGTATCTTCAGAATTCCTTAAATTCACTCGCCAGACCTACATTTGCCCCGGCCGAGGGGGTTGATTGAACCCACCTCGCTAATGCGCCGCTAATTTAACTAGAATTAAGCGGTAAAGTGGTCGTATGCGGCAAAGTATAATGCAGAGTGACTGGTAGGAACCCGCTGTACAGGTCTCAGGTCAACCGGTGACCTCTGAGGTCAGGTCAAGTGATCTAAGGCAAGGGTTCGGTTTTTGGTAAATAACTTCGCCAAAAATGGCCGTAGAGCCGCGATTTTGGCATCATCGTGTTCAGCTAGCTCAGGCGCATCGAATGATATACTTTTTGTTCGGGTCAGGTCAACTTAGGGTGCTGACCTCAGGTCAAGGTCAGGTCAGCACCCCCAGGTCACGAAGTTGGTCGAAAGAGGTCATGTCGCATATCATTCGATTCGGCAGGTCTTTCTGAGTCCATTGGTGGCTTTCCCGACTCGCTAGCTCAATTTGATCGGGAGTTATTGAAGTAAAATTGTGACCCTTGTGACGTCACAAATGACGTCACGCAAGGGCAACAATGTAAATATGAAGCATAGAACCTTGCAAGGAGTGCATGAAATCATGATTCTATATGCTTGAGATAGTTTCAGATCATTCTCGGCGCCAAAATAGCAATTTTCATATTTCCCCATTGACTTATAAGGGTTTAACGTATTAGTTCCTTATATCTGAGGATTTTTTAGGATTTCATCTTGTTTTCCACTCAATTCTGCGTAAGATGCTGGGTTCCGTGTCCACATAGCTTGAACGTAACGGATGCAGCGACCGCAAACGTAAATCGAGGTCCCGAATTCCCTATTCCCCAACACAGGCGGCGGCCGCTTTCTGGTCTGCGCAACATGGCGGCACCGTTGGACACCATCTGGCGGCCGATGCGCATTCCACATTAAACGCAGTTCACACTTGCCCGTAAGGTCTGCCGGTGACGGGCCCGACACCGTCAAAACGGCCGAAACCGACGGAGCGACGGCCGTCAGGTCGACGGGCATGTGTGAACCGGCAGCGTTTGACGGCCGGCAACAGCTGACTGCGCCGGCGCCGGACCTGACGGCCGTCGCTTTGGAAAGTTCAGCAATGTTCAACTTTTGACGGTGACGGGCCCGTCGGTTTGAATGTCTGCGTGTTGGAGGAAGAGGAAAAGGAACGTTATCATGCAGCATGAAGCTTAAATGCATTTTTAAGATAATTTATATCATTTTCTTTCCATTTGTTGAGATGAAAGTGTTTATTACGGCACGATATCTTGAGATTCGATCCCTGATTTAGTTCAGCGAACCGATGTGTCTTTCATTAAAATAAAATCGCAGCATTATTTGACATAAAAATGTAAAAGCGTGGTATTTTATTTCTGTAATTCACAGAATATTTTTTACTTCTCGGCCTCTACCCTCCCCCATCCCTTGCCCCATCCCCTTCCCCCATCTGCGTCCATCTCGAAAATGGTGCGCCATTTCTGTCACAACATATGGCAGCCAATGGGAGCTACCAAATCTCAACTTTCGTTTGACGGGCTGCAGGCCGTCAGGTCGACGGTGACGGGCCCGACACCGACAGACTGACGGCCATGTGTGAACTGCGTTTTATAGAGTTCAGTGGTGAAGATCAGGGGGGTACGCTCCGGCCGTTTAGCATTACGAAAAATGGTGACAGACGTTTGTGGAGGATTGTCGACGAACTCTTGTTCCGCGAGCAGTACTTACACGCTAGCGGAAAATTCACCAATCAGCGCTCGGCAGTACTCGACGCTGATTGGTCCGACGCTCGTGACGAAATTGCGGGGGACCGCAGTTATTCTCTATGGACCCGAATAGGCTTTTGGATTTCGGAGGGGTTTCTTTAAAATTATATGCTGTTTGGAGCTGTTTTCGAGTTGAAATATATTTCTTATGACTGTTAGCTATATAATGACACCATAAAATCATGATTTTAATAAATATTACCGATGTAATATCGGCCGAAAAGACATGCTGTCATGGCACGGACTGCCCTGCGGCTGATGTGGGGCCCCTAGTGCCAGCGTATGGTAATAATGGGTTGACGAAGGGTTGTTGGAGAAACTTAGAGCCCCATCAGCATTCAGTATAGGGTCATTAGACGCCGGGAACGTCCATCAGGGGTCTGAGTAGGCCTGTCATAGGGGCATACATGACACATCATGGCCCATGGGTCAATGTAGATCCATTAGGGGCTGTTGAAGGGCCATCATTGTTCAGCGTGGGCTCGCAATTACCTCTGATGGGCATATGCCGTGCCCCGATGGACTATAACGCTGTTTGTTTGTTTGTTTTGTTGGGTTAGGCCCTTTCAGTCGACAAGACCATTGCAGAGCCGGAAGGATGATAGGAATTAGGGGGAGACATTGGTCTGGGCAGGCACCCTAGTGAGTCGCCGGGGCTGAGCCCGTCCGAAGACAGGCCACCCAGCCCCAAGGCACTCACTGCACCCGGCTACGGGGTGCGCTCCCTCGGGAGCAGCGGCGCCGCTCCAAGGGAGCAGCCCGCATGAGATAAAGTTGCCTGTCCATCCCGGAGGAGGGTTGCGGCGTGGAGGAGAGGGAATTCAGTATCCTGAGGATAGAAGCATGGAAAGGTGTGACTATAACGCTGGCCCCTGATGAACCATCATCAGCCCCTGATAGGTCTACAAAGCCCCCTGCTGGGTCCAAATTGGTCACTGATATGCCCAAATGGGCCACTGAGAAACCCGTACAACATCCCCTGACTGCACCTGCTGGACCAGTGCCGTCCCCTCATGGGCCCACCGCAGCTCTTGAATGACCTTTTCAAGTCCCCTGAAGTGCCTTTATTGGCCTAAATGGCCCCTGATTGACTTATGTGGTCCCTATTGGTCCTATATGGTCCCCATGAGCCCTCAACGTCCCTAGACAGCCTTACATTATATGCCACTGGGCCCTGTTGGGTCACCACCGGCCCCTGATAGGCTTGCACTGGACCCACCGAGCCTATACCGACCCATGAAGGGCCTATGTCGAGCCCTCATGGACCTCCGATGACCACACGCAGGCATGTGTGGCCCCATCAGCAGTGGTCCGTCTATCCCATGTACTTACGGCCTTTTTGGCCGATGTGACACCGGTAGTATATAGAAATGTTATAACTAAATGTCGTTATTACACAGTCAAAAGTCACAGAAAGAATATCCAAGTTCAAAAATGGCCTCAAACCCAACAAAAACTAGTATAAATCACCTTCAAAAGCCGTAAGTCTATTAAACGCCATAGGGGAATAGCTACAGTCCCCCGCAATTTCGTCACGAGCATCGGGCCAATCAGCGTCGAGTATTGCCGAACGCCGATTGGTCGATTTCTGCTAGCCTGTAAATGCTGCTTGCGGATATAGTTTTGAACAAGTGAGGGTCGCGGCTACTAATTATCGCTTGTCACCACTTTTTCGTCGGGAACGTTCTACCTGGTTTATATAGCCTTGGTGAAGATTCAGATTTGGATTGTTGTGATTGATGTGTGGCTTTGAGCAAGGCAGTATATACATTTTGATATACCTTGGGGAGATATACCTATATACATTAGCCAGTATATACCTAGGCCTTGAGTATTGGTTGAATATTGCCACTTCGCAGTATTGGCTATTGGCAGTGTTGGCGATATTGGTATTTTAAGGTAAGATTGATATTTTGACCATTTCATGTTTTGCCAGGATTTCATATTTATAGTCACCGTGATGGTGGATTTCATCATCATAGGCGACGGAACAGGGAGGGCACCATGCCCCCCTTTGATTTTGGCATTTTAACGTTAGCCCTATGGGCATTGCCTGGAAAGAATGGGACCAAAAGTCAACAGTGCCCCCCTTAATTGAAGATGTTCCGCCGCAACTGTTCATCAGACATCATGAGTGAAGGGTTTAATATGGCTTCATTTCAATGACTTAGATTTTGATTATTTCAAACTTGGGGTCCTGCAGTATTTAGTGTGTGACGCACCAGCTAAACCCCGCCTTTGTGACCGTGGGAGTCGCAGACGCTGCAGACACTTGAGCTGGGCTGGGAATTATCTAGCTTTGTCAAAGTCAAACCGTATGCATTAAGTTTGATTCAACAAAAGACGCATAATAAATTGATTGATTGATTGATATACTAGTTTGGGCTAGTTTGAGTTTGTGGGACTGGATTAATTTGCAATTTAGATTAATTAAGACTGTTTTTAGTTAATAATTGATACCTTGTATGTCCTTATGTTATGCTAAAGATATCAAGCAGGTTTTTAGCTCTCAAAGATAGGTAGCTCTCTTCTTACTCACTGGTTAATTACTACCTGGTAGGTCAAGCTACTAGCCAAGTTCAAGTTTCAATCATGGAGACTGAGGTGAATTAGCATAGCTTGATTGAAATTTGGTAGGCTTTTTAGATAAATTGAGCAAAAAGCAAAAGCCTTTTAGCCAAGAGTCAGGAATGGCTGAAGAATGAACAGTTCAGGCTCTATGCTTACCTACAGTCCAAGCCTTAGCCTTCACCTAAACCTACAAATTACAAGCATAGGTATTAGTAAGAAACTGCTAACCTGCTAAGTGCTAGGAGAACAAAGGAATGATCAAATGTGAGATTATGATTCCCTTGGTCTGGAAAATAATGAAGGAAAATGAAAGATAAAAGTAATTGCCAGAACCTGTGGATTTTTTGGTACTCTACAGCATGAATTTAATGTATTCTAAATGTGTTGGCATTTGGTGCTCATTTTATCATAATCTAACACAATCATGACTTGTTTACTTCCTTTTATGTTAATGCTAGGACCAGTAACATCCAGTTTAGTCATCTCATCAGTGTGGGTAGACTCAATGCTGAGCCTCACAGTCACATTTGAGCCTTGCCTTGTCAGCCTCACCTGAGCATTATATTCTTCTCAAAGTGATGTTCATTTGCATGGATTTCAGACACCTAGCTATTCTTGTGTGTGCTTCCAGAGTTTTTATGGCAGTGTTCATTTCATAATTCAGTGTGATGATGTCATTTGGAATTCAGAGGTGTTTTTTACATCACCCAATAACTGATTTTTGTTGCATGGAGATCTATCATGCTTTTGTGCTGGATGGTCAAACCTATTGTAATTTGAAGTTGGTGTCTTCAATTGTTACTTTGTTCTTATAATCAGGGCCCCATTTTTAATTAGCACCCTAGGATTTACCCAGGATTTACCTACATGTCATGTGTGCCCTGCCCCTGTCACAATTGACAAATGTGGATGTATTTTCATTGCCTGTTTTGCTTTGCACATGACATTGTTGAACAATGAAGTTTCTGTTTCAGTGTATCGCTGGGTGTGCAATCAGCAAGGGACCTTATCTACGATTGCAAGTGCTTGACAAGATAAGCTGCTGCCACCTGGAGAAATAACTCCAAGTGAAAGTTCGCCGCCCGGCCGTTAGATGCCAGCAGTGAGCAGTTCTTTCCCTCAGCGGTAAAGAACTGAACGAGAAACGGAACATGATCTTTGTTGGCATCCACCGCCAAGAAGTGTAACACTTGCCAACAGACCAGTGTGTGTACGGCGTTTGTGAGAGCGGTGCCGCGAACTGCGTGACTATGGATCGGACCAGAAACGGCCACGGGCTCTGGCCGGAGAGACACCGCCGGATGGACTCGGCGCACGGATACCCCGCACCAGGTGAGTCGACCGCCGCCTCTGCTGCCGTGGGAGTGTGACGAGAGGCACGTATATCATCAAGTCATTCATTGGGCTTTGTAGGCTGACCATGGCTTCTCCGTGATCTCCTCTGTCGTGCAGCAGTCGCACATTTTTGTTATAGGTACCCTACGCACCAGTGTCCCAAAATTTGTAGATGTGGGTGGGAAACGACATCCAAATGCAAATCATTTTCCACTCTCACCTCCAGTTTTCAAGCCCAATTTTCCACTCCCAATCCCACCGAGAAGGAGCAATTGCGGGAATGGTTGTTTTACATCTGTCACAATTGTAGATAGATTAATGTTTTTTATCATTTTCCCACTCTTTTTGGGCCTTACCTGACCGACAATTTTTCACTCTCATCCTTCTTTTTTTTTTGGTCAGCAATTTTCCCCTCTGACACCCAAGCAAAAATATGATTTTGGTACACTGCTACGCACCGATTGACGATGCCAAAGTTAATGAGCCGTTGTGGGGTCAAATTATGCGATTAGCTATGGATCGTTGTGGGGGCTATAGTTGAACCCCTCAATAACATTGTTGGCCCATCTACGGATACATTTGATGCTAAATGAATCATTGATCATTGTTCAGTATGCGGACAACATTCAAAGATGAGTTTCAAACGATAGCTGTGACAGGTCTACAGCAGTTTCAAGCCCAGTATTCTTAATTTTCCGACCATGAATTTGAGCCGATATCCGGATACTGGGCTGCTCACACCTACATAAAACCCAGTCAGTTTTACGCCAACCACAATATGCCGTGAGGCGCGCCCCTAACCCCCAACAAACAACAAACAACAATATGCCGTGAGCGTGACCATATGTCGGGACCATTCACTGTCAGTGTCTAACAGCTATCATCCACCAATCGAGGTGGTGAGTGGACACTGGACAGGGACACCATCCGGCCTACATTCGTACCCAGTCATATGGGTCGCCTGGCAATGGCGCCCCTTAATCGCTTTCGGCCCCTTTACCAACTCCAGTACTCCACGCCGTTATACTCCTCCTCCAAACACTCCGCATCCAACTACTCTTCCAATACTCCTCCTCTTCTTCTTCTTCTTCGTGGATTAGGGCGCGTATCCAATACGCAACCGAAGTGTGACGTCATGACTAGTGGCTGGGGCATAATCAGCTGACGGCCCTGTGTTAAAGCAATGGGACGAAATTTTATCAGCATTTTTAGAACAAACTGGACCTAGTTAGATAGTTTGGGGGCCATTTTCTAGGTAAACTGAGTATATTCTATTTTTCTACGCCCAAAAAATGCTATGTTTCAAAGCGGAAAGGACCGAATTTCGCGAAATTGTTACGGGCGGCGAACTTGACGCACCATATACATGACCTTGAGATGCGAACTGTGACCGCGTCGGGAGGATTTTGATGCGTAAGGTTTGACATATTTGAGTTTGAGCTGGATAAATATTTTTTATTTGTAAAAAGCAAAGGAGAAAATTCACCATATAAGTTATTTTGAAAATCTTTTTTATTTTAAATCCATTATTTTTAACCTCTTGATCTAAAATGTTTTGTATTTCTGCGTCAATTTCGCCGCCAATTAGGTTTTCACGAAATTTTGTGCTTTGCGTCGTTAGATTTTGCAATATTTTTTCATAGAAAAATAGATCATACATCGTTGTCCTAAATTCAGCTACTAAAACTATCTAACTAGGTCCAGTTTTCTTGGGAAAGATCGGCAAAATATTGCCCCATTGCTTTAGCACGGGGCCGTCAGCTGATTATGCCCCAGCCACTTATCGTGACGTCACGACTTCGGTTGCGTATACTCCTCCAATGCTCCACGCCCCCTTCTCCGCTGTGTTCCGGACTGGTGGTGCCACCTGGTGGCCAATCGACCAAACTCGGCACTCCGGTGCAGTCCGGCCACTTGTCACTGGCACTGCCATGTATCATCATAGCGTGCTGGCAGGGACCGGGGCGGCATTTCCGGACCTGCTTAGACAATGCCCAAACCTGCTGGTCGACTGCCGCCGCTGCTTCGTTGTAGCGTAGTCGACATGGGACTGGTTTTGTGGTTTCGCTAAGCCCGTGATCGCTTTTTGCCAGCTGCTGGTCGGTAGGCCTTGTGAAGTGAATTATAAAAATGCCAGTGGAATTACGAACACTTATGTTTGGCCCATCCCATCGGCTGGTGTGACACGCCCATGGACTTTGATGGTTTTACCGCATCCGATCATATTTTACGGTTGAAAATATCGGTGGATGGCTGCTAGCACCCAATTCGGATATTCTTTTGTTTGTGTGTGATGCTTTATGGTCTAGGAGGCTCGCATTGACCGTCTGTCATTCGAACCACGCAATTTGCCAATATACCATCGCATAATTATGCACCTTTCTGCATTTGCAGTCGGTTTAAAGATACGTAATGGAGCTAACAAGCAATGCATTGCTGAAAGACCCCCAATTTTCGTTTGCGAGTTGTTGGTTTGATGAAGCTCTCAACGTTTTTTTTTTACGTTTGAAGTTTGGTAACTGCTTAGTTTTGGGATCTTCTGGTAAATATTTAGGGTAGGATTCAAACCACTTCCATTCCTATGTTTGCCATAGATATTCGACAGATGTGTCGCATTTGCTCGTTCTTCGGTGAATGAATCGAGTCTACGTAATGCGAGTGTGCCCATGCACTTGCTGAGTTCCAGGTACCGATACGGAAATGCGCGTATATCCTTGCTGAGGCGCTCAAAGTATTTTCGAGGAAAAGGCGTCAGTTTTGCCAGCATTCCTGATAGTTTCCGGAGCTTTGTAACGATGGCGTCATACATTTACTCCATTTTTGAAATAGGAGTGTTTCTCCGTGCATTTTTTTGGTAGATTGGCGGTTTATTTGATGTCGCCAATGGACCTTGATTTTTCCACCAAGGGCATAGTTTTTTTTTTTGCGTGCGTTTTTCCTGGTATCACAATGGTCACGCTTATGTCGGTGTTGGGTCTTATGGTTACTTCCTTGCAGGATGTGCAAGCCTTTGAGGATAGGTGTCATTTTGCCTAATTTAGCCGTTTCACGAGACGTCAGCGATGAAGTCATCGGTGCCTGCTTGCTTCTCTCAACGTTTGAGTCCAATAATATGGGAAAAAGGTTTCGAATTAGCGGCCTCCTCATGAGTCAAGACTCACAGAACTGTTGACCACTGAGGGTGGCAGTTGGTGGGTCACATCGTGCGACATGCGACCTGCCTCACATTTGGTTGACGTTGTCTTTTTTAGCATTTATAATTAACATTTGGAACGCTCTTCTATGTTATCGGTCTTTCTAGGTCCGGCAACGAGCGAGTTTGCGTGCTAGCTGGGGTTGTGGTTAATTTCTTTAGGTCCAAAAGAGGATTTGTTTGTGAGGGTGAATGATTGTAAGTGTTTGCGTTCCATTTCATCAGTATTTTCATGCTAGAATTTCATTATGTAACCTGGCTGTTCCACAGAAAGACCAACGTATATTCTGTGGTTACATGACATGCGTGCTTTGCTTTCGAATGCTTGGTTTTATGCCGCATCGTTTTAATAATCTTTTTAGGCTGGGGGGATCCATGTGATCGCAAGGCACCTCGCAGTTGCGATCAAACGTAAGTTGAATCGGAACAGATATTGGAGGGATCCATCACATCGTAGGCTAAGTAGATACGCAAGTTGTATCGCAAATGGTGAAGATACGAACTAACTTTACGAATCTTCTCGGTCGATCGGAAGGCCGATCGTAGCGAAGCTTTACCTCTTTCTCAAGAGAAAAATATAAGAAATTTTCAAAATTTTCACAAAACCGAAATATATGTTAAACAAATATGGTTGATGAACACGTGTGCAAAATTTGAAGTCGATTTCTTCAAAAATGGCTGCGCTAGAGCGTTTTAAATTTACACGTTGAAAACGGTCACTTTCACGTCATTTTTGTAATGATTTTTTTTCAACTTTGAAATTTAAAAAGTGTTTTGGGCAATTTTTCGCGTTAATTGCGAAAATCTGACCAAAACATGTATCGCACCATCAATGATCCGATACGCCATCAGAGGCCGCGCCGCGGACAGGTGGGCGCGGCGATACCTAGGCCGCGTGGGGGTTACACTGGTGTTCGGGAAGGGCTATGTCAACGCGAGGCAGGCCGCGGGGGAGCCGGTTGCGGCGCCGGTCCGTATTTGTCGGCGCCTAGCAGTGCAGCGGTGCGTTTATGGCGGAGGGAGGGGAGCGGTGTAGTGTCGGCAAGGCCGCACACAGGAGAGGGCACACGGGCCTCCCCCCCATTCGAGTTGGGGCCCCTAATCTTTAGACCGCCGAAAACCATGTAAAATGAACTAAAATAATGATTAAAAAGACCGGGAGGGCCCATCTCGTTCCCCAGCAGGCCCATACGAGTCCATAAATGCCCAGTAGCGCAGTCAGGGGTATTGTGGTGAAATTTCAATGGCCCTCAAAAGACCTCAAAGGGCCCACAGATGGGGTCACCGGGTCCTCAGATGGTCTCGAAGGGCCCCCGGTTAGCGTCAAATGACCCTCATCTGGTGTCAAAGGGCCCTCAGATGGCCAAATGAAGGGCCACAAGATGGCCTCAAAGGGCCCTCAGATGGGTTCAAAGGGCTCTCACTTCTCAGCCAACGTTAAACCTACCTCAGAAGACCTTAAAGGGCGTCAAAGGGCCCTAAACCTGCGTCAGAGGGCCCTGAGCTCGCGTCAAACGACCCTCCGAAGGCCTTAGAGTCCTTAGCTTGTGTCAGAGGGCCCCCAGCTGGTGTCAGTGAGCCCTCCTCAGCTGGCGCCAAAAGTCCATCTGAAGGCCTCAAACGGTCGTCAGCTGGAGTACAACGGTCCTCAGATGCCGTCACGCGGCCCTCAAAAGCCTCAAGGAGCCCTTATAAGGTCTCAAAGGGCCCTCATTTGGCCTCAAAAGGCCCTCCGCTAGCGTTAACCGGACTTCAGAAGGCCTTAAAGGGCCCTTATCTGGTGTCAGAGGGCCCCCAGCTAGTG